CAGTGTTGGTTTTCATTTTGTTTTAATTTTAGTGAAACCCAATGTATTGTTCTCTTAAATTTTTATTTTATGGATTGTGCTTTTAGTCTTGTACATAAAAGTATCTATGCACAATCCAAGGTCACTAAGATTTTATATTTTATCCCATATTTTATTTCCTATATTTTATTATAGAAATGATAATAGCTTTTAATTTTACATTTAAGTCTTTGATCTCATCACTCTTCACTTAATTTTGGTATCTACTTTGACACGAGTTGAAATTCTTTTCTCTTTTTTTTCCCACACGTATTCTAATTGTTCCAGTGTGGTTTCATATAAAGAATTATCCTTTCACCACTGGGTTGGCTTGGCAGTCTTATCAAAAGTCAATCAACTGTTTGTTTTCTTGATGTCAGTATCACACTGCCTTGAATAATTGTAGTTTTACAGTAAGTGTTAAAATTAGGTAGTATGTCACAAACTTTGTTCTTATTTTTAGAAATATGTTACCTAGTCTAGCTGCTTTACTTTTCCATACACGCTTTAGAATAAGCTTGACAATTTCTACCCAGAAAAACTCTGCTGCGTTTTGACGGGGACTATGTTCAATCTCAATACCTCAATTTGGACAAAATCAACATCAAAGTCTTTTATAAGTATGTTCTTTTTATTTAATTCTTCTTTAATGTTTTCTCATTAATTTGTATGTTTTTTCATATTTACATTAAGGTATTTCATATTGGTGGCACTACTGTAATAGGTACTTTTTAAAATTTTAATTTATAATTTTTCATTATTAGCCTACAGAAGTATTATTTCCTTTTATACATTAACTTTTTATGCTACGACCTTGCTAAACTCATTTTTTACAAATAAATTCTTTTTTATTATTAGCCTAGAGAGGTATCATTTACTTTTAAACATTAACGTTTTATGCTGCAACCTTGCTAAACTCATTTTTTACAAATAAATTCTTTAGGTTTTTCTACTTAGAAAATCATACCATCCATAAATAGACCCATTTGTATCTTCTTTTCTGACCTATGTCTTGAATTCCTGTACTTGAGTCAGTATTACACTGGATAGCAGCAGTGAGAGGAGACCTTCTTGCCTTCATCCTACACGGAGAGAGAAAGCACTTAACTCTTTGGCTGTTAAATATGATACCTATCAGCCGTCAGATATTTACAGATGCCTTTTATACCACTGAGGAAGCTGTGGTTAGTTTTTAACAGAAACGGGATGTTAAATCCTGTTACTTAACTTTTCGCATTCTAGGTCAAAAGATTTATCTCCAAATTCACAAATAAACTAGTTCATTAAGGAGGGTAATATTTAGTAAGTTTTATTCAGAAGCCCAACTTAAAAGGCAGCTGTATCAGTCACATCCTTGGTACTTTTGCTGAAGCACCCAGCGATGTTATCTGTGACTCCTGACATCAGCAATAACAGCAGAAGGAACATGAAATTTCAGGCTCACCTATGTTAAAGACAAAATTAAAACAATCATTTGGAAAAAGACATCCATTCGTTAAGGATAAGCTCATTTCTAGGTCTCACATTCTTTATTTGTCCTGCTTTCTCAAAACTGTTGTTTTCTCCCCTAGGAAAAGTAGCTAGATGTAAAATATCTAACATCTCTCGATTGTGTCAGAAAATAAAAATATGATTTTCTTTTAGTCTCACATTTTCGTTTTTCTGTTCAAAGAAAAAATTTAAATCTCTTGTCTCAGTGAGTGGTAGTAATGTTTTATTCCAATTGGAAATGTGGAGATGGTCCTGACTTCATTGTACGGAGCCTCATCCTCCAGTTCACCCCCTTCTTTAAGCTCCAGGCCAACCTCGTGTTGTTCTACCCCAAAGGGTCAGTTTACCGGGTTGGGGGTTTTGTTCTTGTTGTTGTTATAACTGATCTTTGGGTTTTCAGCTGAATCCTGAGAGTTTCCTTATTTCTCAGCCTTGAATGACTCAATGCCGGGTCCTGATGCCTTTGAGTAACAGCCACACACCTTTTCTCGGCTTGTAAGGCCCGCCGTGCACGATCCTTTATCTTTACTCCTCATGTGTGCCCACGGTTTCCCACTTGGAAAGAAAACAGAATGTCTTGGCCATTGCACCTTCAGGGGTACAAATTTCCCATATGGGGAAAAGGGACATCTGTTGTTCTGAAGCCAAAGCTCTTCTGAATGAGAAAATGAAGAAAAAAAAAGAAAAGGTCCTCACGCAGAAAACAGTCTATAACCTCATGTGAGGATCAGCCTCACCCCTAAAAATAGACCTAGGAGTCAAGAAGACCAATTACCCAATTACTGTTTCATTAATAAGTCAGAGATTAATTAGCAAGTCTCTAAACTTGCAACTATCCATAAATTCTTATTGCTAATGTTGCTGCCCTCCCCTGCGTTCCCATTATCACAACAGTTCAATGCTCTACTTTCTCAACCTCAGCACTATTGACATTTAGGGCCAGATAATTCTTGGCCGTGGAGGGCTGTTCACACACCGTGGGATGTTTAGAGCAGCCCTGGCCTCTCTTCCTACATCTCAGTAGCATCCTGCCCCCCTCACAACTGTGACAACCCCAAATCTCTCCAAACATTGCCAAATACCCACCGGGAGGCAAGATCTCTAAGTACAATGATGTGCACGTAAGATGCAGCAGAAGTCTGGGAGAAAGACGCTCTAAGGAAAGGAGCTGGTGGTGACCTCAATCCACGCAGACCAGATCCCAGAGAAAGGCAGCCTGGGTCGCTGCAGGATTAAGATCAGAGCAGGAAGTGGAAGGTGCACGTGATGGACAGAACAACTTCCTCACAGCCATGAAATCGTTACACTTCCCTGGTTGCACCCTGAGTTTACAGCCTCATCTCTGCGCAGAATTTTTCTCTTCATGAAATATCCTATGTCATCTTCATGGGACTGTGTAAGGCTTACGGGCAGAACAGGAAGTAGAGGTGATACACATCAAAGATGATGGCTATAATGACAGACAGTTTTTACAATGCATATATAACTTTTTATAGGCCAGTATTGTCTTTGCTTTTTAACTAGGCAACTTGTGCTGGGTATCTCTATAAATCCACTGACTTGTCAGATCTGCTCTTCTTCTGTTGGGCCCCTAGAATTAAATTTTATTCTAGGGATGTTTTCAACATAAACAAATATTTCTTCTATTTCCATTTCACGTTCTAGAAATACTAAAAGCATACATAATGAATGCATTTGTCTCTGACCTGTGTTCAGAGATGTTAATGATCTATGAATGGATGTACTTACACGTGTTCATTCCCTGCTGAAACATACAAACAGACACACACACAGACATACATGTACACACAGACACTGGATACCAATTTCAAATATCATTCCTGCTCAACTACATTTGAATTTTAAAAGTCTGGTCTAGATTGTTAATGCATTGAAAAAAAAATGAAATTAAAATTGAAGTTGTGGAGAAGGGGCAGAGCAAGACAGCCGAAGAGAAACTTATAGTGATCGTCCCTCTGAGCAAACATCAAATTCAACAGCTATCCATGCAAGAAAGCACCTTGAGAAAAACCAAAATCCGGCAAGGGATCAACGTGCCTGGTTTTAACATTACGTCACGGAAAGAGCACTGAGGAGGGCCGAAAAGACAGTCCCACATTGCCTGTGCCACCCCTCCCCGATCCTGCGGCATTAAGGCAGAGAGCCTGTGTGCTGGGGAAGGGCTGCCTGGGCAGAGGGGAACACAGCCCAGGGAAGAATTCTGCTGGCATCCACAGAGAAAGTATTCAAACCAGCTCTTCTGTCCTCATCCTGAAACCAGGCTAGTCCACCACTGACTGACAAAAAGTGGCTTGGGTTCTGAAATGGCAGTTGGGCACAAAGCCTACAGTCCTTGGTGAATTTCTGCAGCTGTGTTGGCTTGGAGCCTGTGGGCTTAGGGAACACATGACCCAGTGAGACATCAGTGGTGGTGCCCAAGCTAGTGGCTGTGTCACCTATCCCCCTCCAGCCACTGGGAGTTCAAGGACAGCCTTCTTCCAACTAGGGGATGGAAAGGGAAGAGTCCAAAGAACTTGGTTTTGCAACTTGGGACCAAAACAGCCACAGTAAAATAAAGCACTAGGCAGACTCCTGAAGTCTCTGAGTCCAGGCCCTATTTCCTGGATAGCATTTCTAGACCCACCCAGGGGCCAGAAGGAAACATGCTCTACTGACAGGAAGAACCAAGTCCTGGCAGAATTCATCCCTTGCTGACTAAAGAGCCTTGGGCTCTGAATAACTATCACAGGTAGCCAGGCAACAGTCACCACTGGCTTCAGGTGAGACTATCTGGCTTCAGGTGTGACCTGGCACAGTCCCAGCTATGGTGGCCATGAAGAAGTCCCCACATCACTCCTCTCCCAACCCCAGCAGCCCAGCACAGAGAGTGAGGGAAGAGAGGGAGACTTTGTAAGGCAGAGAATTGTCTTGCATATGATCCAAGTTCAGTAGGGTGGTACCACCAAGAGTCTACAAGAGTCACTGAGTATAAGAGTCAATTCCCTTTGAATATCTGAAAAGCCTTCTGAAGAAGGACAGGTTCACATAAGCCCAGATTGTGAAGATCCAAATAAATGCTTAACTTTCCAATGCCCAGACACCTATGAGCATCCAAGAAGATGCCACCTCACCAAACGAACTGAAGTTGCCAGGGACCAACCCTGGATGGCCACACAGTAGGAAGCTCATACAAATCTGAACAATTCTGTATAGCACTGAGGCTTTCCTGTGTGGATAACAGCACGTACGCAGACATATACGAATGCGGCAGTGCACTCATGGTTTCTTTCTCTCAAAATCTTAATAGACTTTGCCACCATAGCTTTGTACTTCATAGAAGAACTGACTTGTTGACTGACTGAAAGAATATTTCAAACCTGCCTTGTAAGTTTCTACAATAAAAGTCTGATTAATTCTTATGGGATAGAAACATTTTGCTACAGAGATGGTACTTTCCTCAAACATGTTTATGACCCACTGTGGCCACTTACTGTCTCCCCAGCAGAGCAGAGGCCCCAGTTTATAAGCTGCTTCTGAATGGGGTCGGCCCGTGTCTGAAATCACTATTTTAGTTACTGGCAAATGTTCTTTATACGAGAGCAATCCAGTGTCATTGGTCCTGAAAGGCAATAAGAAGAAGATGGTTAAAATTATTGATAGCTCTTAATTGCATTTCAAGACCTAGATGTTCTGAACTGAATCCTCACACACACAAGAGTAAGGATTCAGCTGCTCATCAGAGCACACAAAAATACGCTAACATTTTAATATCCCTTGTAGAAAATACATAATAGAGAATATAAAATATAGCATATGCTAAAGTTAGAATATAATAGAAGTTTTTTTAACTTAGTAAACCATTTTCTACCTTTTGACTGGAACAGTTGGTTTACCCATTAACACAGTGGTTCTCAACCTGTGGGTCTGTATTAAAAGGCCGTGGCACTAGGAAGGTTGAGAACCACTGCACGAACATTCAGTGTAATGACTGATACTGGGTTTTAGGTCCACCACGTTGCTATCTGTTTCTTCTTTCGTCTTGTATGATTTCTTGTCCCTCTGCTCCTTCTTAGCTGCCTCCTCTTGATTTATTCCTTTTATGTGTATTTAATTTTTTTTCTCTATGCACTCTTCAGCTATACCTCTGTTTACTGTGTCTTAATCTTTTCTTTATAGATTATGAAATGCACCTTTATCACAGTCTACTTAGATTTTTTTTGTTTTTACTCTTAACAATTTTTTTATTAAATCATAATGGGATATATTAATGCATTTATAGGGTACAATGTGCTGATTTTATATACAATTTGGAATGCTTACATCTAACTGGTTAACCAAGCCTTCACCTCATTAATTATTGTGTTAAGACATATATACTATACTCTTAACAGATTTGACACGTAGCCTTACAATGTGCACACAGGTGAGGTCCCACCGATTACTCAGACTTTATGTTATATAACAATGTAGAATGTCAGAGGCTTGCTATGGAATAATTTATTTAATGCCACCCCCCACATACACATACTTGTTTTTTTGTGCTATTCTAATATTTTAAATCCACATGTTAAAACTTTATAATACAATTAAACACTGAATTTTATTTTTTCAATTAAGAAAAATTTAAACATTAGCTTTCTGTTTATCAACATATTTATAATTTTCAGCAATCTTCATTTCTTCCTGAAGTTCTAAGCTTTCATCTGGTGTTATTTTTCTTAGCCTAAAGAATTTGTTAAAATTTTTCATTTCAGATCTATTTTGTTTTCTTAAGTTCACATTTCATTGTATAATATACTTCTCATTTATCTGCTTAAAATACCCTCTGCTTAGACATTGTGATCATTTTTATGTTTAAGTCCTTAAACATGTTTATAAGAGGTACTAGAAATATTTTGTCTGCCAATTCAAACGTAGTGCCCTGAGATTTGTTTATAGTAACTACTTCTAATTTCTTGACTTTAGATCAGAGTTTATTCTCTTTGGGAATGTTCAGTGATTGTTATTAATATACTAAATATATGAATTATACATTGTAAAGATTTTGGGTTTTGTTCTTCTCTGAAGATTTCCTCCTTATTTTCAAGGCAGTTAAATCACTACTTTATCACAATAAATTGTGTGTGCTTAGTTTTATAGTTCAGTAGGGTGGGCCTGGGTCAATTTTGTTCTTACTTTTCATCCTGTCCCTCAGTTCTGGGACATAAACTTTGCTATAAATACATGGACCTTCTGTCATTTCTATGGAAAGCTGGGGGGTTTACAAAGCCTAGCTCAGTTTGTCAGTCTTAAACTCCACATTCTGACTCTGCTCTTGTAGAAGCCACTGAACTCGCTGTGCAACTCGTTCAGTTTTCCAGTTTAATTCTCTCCTTGGCGCTTAGAAGTCTTCCCTCTGCGTTTGCAGCTCTGGGTCAGCTGAGGATCTAAGGAAAGTCTTTATAATGGCCTCCCCCAGGTGGCTCTCTCTTTTCTGGGAATTCCCTCTCCCTCACTGTCCAGTTATTCTAGCATCTCCAAATCCTGTCCTTAAACAAAACAAAACAAAAATCTAGTATTTCCTTTGAAACCCAGGCATCCCAGGGCATGTGATCTATGTGCTCAGGGGAAAAGGAGCAGTAATATCATATATCCGACCCAGCCGGATTCCCTCCTTTCAGGAGTAAAAGACCCCTAACCCGTAGGCATTTTCTGCCTATGTTTTGTTGCTCTCCAATTACTACAAGTAGCTGTTTTTCCAATATTTTCCTGGATTCACAAAGTTTTTCTGAAAAGGGTTAGTTCTATGCAAACTACTTTACCATAACCAGAGTTTAATATAAGAAGTAACTTACTTTTCATTAACAATATGTTATGGAGTCATTAAAGAGTTACTGGTGATTTGGTTAATTTCTTTGTTAGCATTATTATTGGCACCATTCACATGTTAAACTATTTCTGTGTAGGTATATTCTGTAAAGGTAATAAGAAGAGTGCCTTCTAAAAGGAGTAGAAATCTTGAAAAATTAAAGGAGTAATTTAAAGGAGTAAATTAAAGGAGTAAAGGAGACCATATTCTTGATACTAAACATGTGACATTAAAAATGCAATCCTGGCTCCACATTCCTCTCTATACAGATTCCTCCTTCTATGTTTTGGGTTTTTTTGGGGGTGGGGATAGACTCTCACTTTGTTGCCCTCATTACAGTGTCATGGCGTCAGCTCACAGCAACCTCAAACTCTTGGTCTTAAGTGATTCTCTTGCCTCAGCCTCCCAAGTAGCTGGAACTACAGGCGTCCACCACAATTCCCGGCTATTATTTTGTTGCAGTTGTCATTGTTGTTTAGCTGGCCTGGGCCGGGTTCAAACCCGCCTGCTTTGGTGTCTGTGGCCAGCGCACTAACCACTGAGCTCAGGCACTAAGCCCTTGTATGGCATTCTTGAAGAGTCTCTATCTCTCTCTCTATCTGTGTGTATATATAACAGTCTTTACATAAATACATAAGCATATGCATAAAACATAATATTGATATATGCCAAGTAAATAAATAACATCTAATTCAAGTGGTGAGCTCAATTAATGGCAGATTGATCACTGGAATTAATGTGTAGTCTATAATCAAATCATTTAAATTTACAGCCAGATTGACTATTAATATTTTTAAAGTAATTTTTCCATGCAGGTCCAGTTGCTTAGCAACATATACATATGTTATGCTGAAATGTGAATATAAATATTTAAAAATATTTTCGCTTTACAAATAATAAATAAGAGCAGCATGCATGCCAGCTCAAGCCTCAAATACAATGAACACCTTTTATTAACCTTTGAGATAAAGGAAAACTCATACATAAGGCTTTTCTGCTTAGAAGAACATTTTAAATTTAATTTTCAGATTCCTAAAATGTTATAGATTTCCTCTTAAAAAAATATAATCCACAGAACATTAGTTATTTGGGGCATTTTTTTTTTAAGATTTAAAACCCGAATGTAATAATGATTATGGGAAAGCTGTAAGTGCACATGTTCAAAGGTTTTTGTTGGTATATTACCAAAGAAATGTGCTTTGTTAACCAGCTATACATCCATTTTGAAAATAATGGAATGCCTACTTATATATAATTTTTAAAAAGAATAAATGACTTCCCATGTAACAGATCCTTCTATCTCATCATATTATAAAAATAAAATGTACATGCCTTATGGTCCATTATAAAAAATTAAAAACCCTCACAAAGGCACTGACCTTAACTCTTACTATGTTTCATCAAAACATACCTCTAGCTAATTTCTCCATTGCACTAACTTGTTCAGTATCTGTCTGTCTATACATACTTTTAACAGATTGATTTAAAAAAAATCTTTGTCTTGTATAAAGAAATCATATAGAAATCACCATTCATTCCGGTCGGCATCACAATTGCAGTAGTACTGAGAGTCAATGCAGTTCCCCTCTAATCCACAAGTACATTTTTGAGAATTAGGCAAAGGACCTCCCCAATAAGTCTGTGTTTCATTGGTTCTTCCAATCCACCAGCTCAGAGGGGCACCATCTGAAAGACATAGACGAGAAATGTGGTATTTGCTTTCTTCCAAAATCATTAAAAAGAATAAAAGGAGAAAGAGGGAAAGACTGATGTGATCTAAAGATAGACTGAACATTATAACTGATGGCATTTCCTCAAGAAAGCTTTTTAAAAAATTTTTATTACCTAGGCTTAAATGATTGATACGTTTTTCTATGAGTCAAAAAGAAACCAGCAGTTCCTATTTAATTTAGTCATGATAATAAAAATGAATTGAGAGAAGTTCATATATAAAATTTCTTTTAAAATAATTTTAAAGCAGTTGGCATCAAAATATAAACAACAGGGGTGGCGCATGTGGCTCAAAGGAGTAGGGTGCCGGCCCCATATGCTGGAGGTGGCGGGTTCAAACCCAACCCCTGGCCAAAAAAAAAAAAACAAAATTGCAAAAAAACCCCCCCAAAAAACATATATATATATACAACAGTAACTAACATACCCAGGCAAAATTGATTTGAAATCATGAAATGCCCATTAAAACATTATGGAATGTTATGTAAAGTCACTGATTTATCTCAATATGTTTGTTGTCTAAAAATACATGAGCTGTGTATTGAACATTAGACATGGTATAGTACTCCCTTGTCATAATTCAAGATTTATTTGGAAGTATGTATTCTCTCTTCCACTTAATGGCTTAGCTATTTATTTGTAGACTACAGAAATAACGCTGAAAGATCTTCATGCCTGAAGCAAATACTACGCTCAAAAAAAAAAAAAGAATTCCTTTAGCCAAATGCATCTCTTTCTACAATAAATGTTCAGCTGCCAGCTCCTCTCGGAGCTAAGACTAAACACGATGCCAAGAAACTAAAGCAAAGAACAGACAGAATATCTATGTGAGAATTTTTAGAAAAGGAGGTGAGGCATGTAGGCAATTTGTCTTGGAAAAAAAAAGATACAGAGGAAAAGCTGTAGTCATTTGGGAATTGGGGCATGAGAAGACTGTGAGCAACATCCAATCAGTCGGCTCCTAAAGGTACCTGATTGATTGTTTTCTGTTGACTTCCAAAGCTTGAAGTTGTAACCATTAGCCCCACTGAGACCCTGGGATTTCTCTTCATTTCTCCCTCACTTATAAATGCCAATAAGCATTTTAACTCCCTATTAGATAGCCTCTCTGCTGATGCTGACAACCTCCCTCCCAGCTGACAGGGGCTGGCTTTACACACTTAGTTCACCCAATGGCCACTGTGTCCCTGAGAGGCTGGTAGTGTTGGCTCCGTTTCTGAGAAGAGAAAGCAAAGATTACAATTCAACCATTTTATGAACCAAAGGCTCATCTAGCTAAGTTCTATATGTAAATGAGAGACCCTAGACTTTAACTCAGTTCTCTTCCAACCTGTAAATGTGATGCTTTCCCCACTACAACTGACTGATCCTCGTTCACAGGTAGGATTGAGGTTTTGGGGGAGACAAGATCTAAGCAAAATGCTACTGGAGGGGTAAAAGGCTGACTGAGAACATTCTGGAAGAGAGGAAAAGAAGGCGGGGTGGAACTCAGGCAAAGGGCAGATTAATCTGGCTGCATTAAGTGAAGAGTAAATAAAAGAGATGCTTAATTAAGAATGAAAGGTTCAAGTGTTAGTTCAACATTTTTGTGGATTATACATATGACATAAGCTGTTCCTATAAAAAACATCTCTCTTATCACATTCTTGTCATTCTATCTGGAATGTCAACCCCTTTTGGGACAACAAGCCAGAGTGAACAGTTAACAAAGTGACTTTCTTGTGCAGAAGTCCTTGGAGCTTCTCTGACATGTAAAGAAAAAGACACCTGAGTGGTGCTGCCAGAAGCCAGCGTGCTGGGGGATGGGAAGGTGGCCACAGCAGCCAGAATTCGTGGTTCTGGGATCCCAGCAGAAGCATCTATATTGGACAAACAACACAAGGCACTAGAGCTTCTTAAACACAACAGTGCCGGGATGGAAGCAGTGTGTCTTAAAGGTTAGTTTTCTTCCTAAGTTTCAGTATTTCAGATTTTATATTGGATGGTTAGGAGACCCAAACAGATGGCACCTGGGAGGCCAGCAGGAAAGCTTTTGCAATAACTTCAAGAATTAGGTCATGAAGGCTACTCAAGGCAGACGTGGCGGGGCCTGAGCTACTCTGAAATGAAATCTTCTAGAAGGGGAAAACAGGGAACCAAATTCAGAATCCAGAAGGAGACTGATCAATCAATAATAGAATAAAAGAAAGCATTAAGACAGTTTTCTGATTCCTACTTGAGCTACTGAATCAATGTGTTTCTAGAAGAATTTTCTCATTTTCCACTGTACCCAAGAAAAAGAGTCAAACAGAATAGTCACTTTCAAAACACCAGGTCATATGTTTATTGGCTGTTTTCCATGACAAAACAACCCTTCTGTGTCTCTGCCCAGTGTGAGATAAACGCCACTGAGTATCACAAGGCTTTGTTGTACAGCCATCCAGTCAGGGCCAGAGATTAAAAGTGACCAAGACTTTGAATAAAGCTCCATGGAAACCAAAGTGCACCAAAGTACGCAGGGATCACACATCCTCTGTGGCCTCCTGATCCACATGGGCAGAATTCCAAGCTCGTATGCTGGCTGAGTTCCCCATGCAGCCATGTGTGACGCGCCTCAGTTTACTCACCTTCTTTACTGACAAGCCGTGACTTCTTGCAGTAGTAGGTGAGGTCCTGTTCACAGTGCTCCGCACGGGTAAGAGTGGCCTGGAGTTGCTCCATGCTGGCCACATACTGGAAAACCCCAGTGTACGGGTTCCCTGGATTCGTATTCCTGACTCTTGTTAGGTCGGAGCCGTTATGTTGTATGATGGTCCATGCCGTTTCTTGTATGCAGAAATGGGGGAAGAAAGAGAGGAGACCATCACTACTCTGCAAAAGTTAAAATAAATAAAGAAAATCAAAATCACCTTTCATCTGAGTCAAATTGTTCTACTTATAAAACCTCTCTCAGAGGTAGAGTCAGTACACATGGATTCTTAAATCTGTAAAGTTAAAAGTGATTCTTTCCCCTGAAATCTATACTGCTCCCACGCATTTATGGTGATTTTATTTTACTTTTTCATAAAATTTAGCTGGCCAATATTTATGATAAAAAATATTAGGAAATCTAATTATAGAATTTGGGGGACATTTTTCATTTCATCAGATCTGATATTCCATCTTTTTAAAGATGCATCATTCTGTTATTTTTCTTTAAGAAACAGAAGAATATTACAAGAAAGATATTTGTGTCAGAATGTTTATTGCAGCCCAATTCATAATTGCCAGGTCATGGAAGAAGCCCAAGTGCCCATCGATCCACGAATGGATCAATAAACTGTGGTATATGTACACCATGGAATGCTATGCAGCCATAAAGAAAGGTGGAGACTTTATATCCTTCATGTTCACATGGATGGAGCTGGAAAATGTTCTTCTTAGCAAAGTATCACAGGAATGGAAGAAAAAGTATCCAATGTACACACACCT